ATTTAAACACTATTACAATATTTTCCTTATGGCTGTAGTTCTGATAATTATTTCTACGCCAAATTAAATTCAACTATATCAATCAATCAATTGAAAAAAAAGTAACCAAACTATTTTTTGTTTTTCTATACTTCTCCTTTTAGAGTAGCAATTAACTCTCCGCCTTCCTTCAATTCTTTAATTATATCCAAACCTCCAATCAATGATCCTTTTACGTAAACTTGTGGGTATGTTGGCCAATCAGAATAAACTTTTAATCCTTGTCGAACCTCTTCATCAGACAAAATGTCAAATGTTTCATAATCAATGCTAATATAAATAATTTTATATCAATAATAAGTATTAACCTAATGATATTTTACAAAATTGTATATTTGTATGTATACTAATAGTCAGTGGCGCCGAACCTATAACCCAAGAGGGGCGACCTCCCCACTTTTTTCGGTGGGTGGGGTCGTAAGGGGGCCGTGGATACACCAACAAACTATTTATGAATTATGTTCTTACCTCCTAACTTCTAAGCCATTAATATGTATGGACATATGGTATTTGTATCAAATGCAGCACTGTAGCAGGCCGTAAGGAATAGCGACTAAGATCATGAGGATAAACAACTAGCCTGAGTTAGTGAGTAAAGTTGGCTGACAATTTATTAATATGAAAAAACTTATTAATAACATACGCACCACCTGCATTGGTATTTGGTACTAATAAATAATAATAAAATATTATTTAAGTCAGGTGTTAAGTTAAAAGTATTTCAGGTATGTAGTCATGTAGATATGTATAAAATACGTTATACTTGTTTGGCTGTTTAAAAAAATTTGGTAAATTATAAATTAATACATTTTACTTTATATTTGTTAAGTTGAAACTAGTTGTGAATACTCATTAGGAATGATAAAATGAAAATGAAAATAGAGTCAAAATAAGCCTCCCCAAAATATTTGAGCTAGTTACGCACTTGTGCTACTAAATATTGCAGTTAAAAAATTGTAATTTAAAGTTGTTTGAACTATGAAAAGTGCTTACTATGGGTGATTGTGGTTGAAAAAGTGGCATCATGAATAATTTAAAAGTATTAGTCTACAAAGTGATTTTAGATTGTTGAATACTTGAATTAGGGGTGGGGGGCAAAGCCCCCCCCCACGTTTTTATTTTGTAAACAGGGGTGGTGGTTCGTATAACTTTTTACTTGCCCCCCCTTTTAAAATATCGTTCAGCGCCACTGCTAATAGTAATTAACACTATATTTAATACTTACCCTGTTTGGTTTAATATTTGGATCAACTGATTGCTAAATCCACAGCGAGCAAGTTGTTTGTTGCCTTTAATAAATACCATAACATCAGATTTATGTGTAAGTAATTTAAGTCTAAAACAAACAAAAAARTWAATCAACAATTTAAAAATAATAGTTAAAGATATAATCCATTACAGATAATAATTGTGTCATAAATAATGTCAAAGAATGTAATTAATGAAAGTCAACTAAATTGTTAAATATATTCAAATATAAAGAATTTAATA